ATTCCCTGCTTCTGTAATAAAATAGGCGCCTGGAATTCTAACCACTTACCTTTAAGCAAATTTACCTATGAATCTTTATATTCCTTAATTTTTCTTTAACACGCTAAAGCCCGTTCTATACTTACACTTCTAAGTTTAATGTCTTACCATCAGCTCACAGCGTTCAATATCTCAGCTTCCTTTCTCCTTCTTCCTCGCGATTATAAAACCTTCACTATATACTATCTACTAACTAATCTGAATATCGCGGCTTCCTCTTGAGAGGATTGGCTGTAAATTAAATCAATGCTGGCCCAGAGATTCCCCAAGAGGATTAATAGGAAAAACGTAGTGCATCCCGGTCTTAATTGCAGCAAAAGGAAATGGGATAAAAGAGAGCCATAGTTAAATTGCTTAATAATGCACAGCAGCAAACTTTACCAAAAGACTACATCAATTTTTCCTAACATATTTTGTTGATCGCTAGCTTCGCAGGCCAGCACAATGTATGGTAAAAGATCTATGTATTGTTTGGCTTTATCTTATATATATAGCAATGCAGTACCTGATTGATGATTAAGTAATATATGCAGAGGAAGAGATTACCCTGAATCCTGTTACATATCCCATTATAGCATTATTTAATCATTTAAAAATATTTTTATTAAGGTCATGCAATTAAATAGCTATGAGAATCTTCTTTAATAGAATTCGTTATAAACCATAATTAATATTTTACATAAGATAACACTTTAATCGTATATAAAATCATCTAAATGCCATGAAAACATAATGAAAAATGTCGGATTTATTAAGCTTTTCAATTCTGACTAAGAATAAAATGGAGTCTCCAGTAAAAATAAATGCTTATCCATGGAAGAGCTGATTTTAAAATTCGAGAAAATTATTTCAAAATTCCTGATTCAGGACTAGGTTATTAAAATCAGTTACTATTTAACATTTTGTTTGTTGAATGGTTTTGGGGGCCAGTACTACCACCGAAGTCCACTTACCACCTTATACACCTCGAACCAACAACAAAAGGAACCATGGTCAGATAACGAGGTTGACACCTCAGCTAGTATCCCCTTACATTCAAGTTCACTAACATTGGAAATTAATATGAGAGGGAATTCCAATTTACTAAAAATAAAAGATAATCCCTACCTTACTCAAAATGATTCGTATTTATGAAACAATACACACACACAATAATACATTAACTGTATTCCTTATTAGATGGTTTGTTGAAAGCATTTACTACTTTAAATATAATTAGTCTTTTGATCTTCCTGTTGCAACAATATTCCTTCAATTTCATCGGTTGCCAATTTTTTTTAAAAAGAAATTTGCAGTAGGGTTTTTTTTTATTATCATTCTTTTCGCATGTGCTTTTCAAGCGACTTGTAAAAGCACTATTTGAGACTCACACTCCATATTATATATACGGATGTTTCTAAAAGAATATCGGAATTTTAACGCTTTTTATAGTACTCATTACATATAAAATAATAGTATGACTCATACATCGAATGAAACAGCAACTCAACAGTTTTGTTTGCTGGCATGTGTGCGCGTGTACGAGAAACGTATGCTAATTTTTCCCCCTTTCTTGCCGATCAACGCGCTAGTAGAAAAATGGCAACGAGTAAACAGAAAGCGTTTTGTGTTCTCCAGTTTGCAAAGACAGAATCTGCTATTACTGTGCAACGAGCGTTCCGTATTAAGTTTGGTTTTCAACCTCCAAATAAATAACATTCTATCATCAGTTTGAAGCAACTGGCTGTCTTTGTAAAGGGAAAAGTAACGGGACGACCAAGGCTGTAACTGGTTCTGCCTATCTTGATGCTCTACAACTATGGCTATTTTCTCAATTGGAATAAAGTGAACCAAATAACTTCATTTGGCAGCAAGATGGTGCACCGCCTCACTGGCATTTCTTACTACGCGATTGGTTAAATATCTCTGTACCCAACCAATGGATTGGCCGCAAAGAGCCTCCCGATAAAGCTTGTATCGTATGGCCTCTACGTTCACCCGATCTGAGGCCATGTGACTTTTATCTGTGGGGGTTCATAAAGATTGTTTGTACGTTCCTCCACTACTAGCTGACTTTTCAGACTTAAGACATAGGATGGAAGCAGATGTTGCAATTTCCTCAGACACACTGAAAAAAAGTTTGGGATGAGCTTGCCTATCGACTTGATGTATGCCATGTGACGAATGGGGCTCATATTGAACATTTGTAAACTTGTAGGTAAAACTGTTTTAGTTACTCTGTCATTCAATGTATGAATTATACTTGTAACTTATATGTGATAAATACTATAAACCGTTAAAATTCCGATATTCTTTTAGAAACACCCGGTATTTAACAAACATCGCTTCATAATACAACAAAAAACTCCGTCACTTGTGCATGAACTTCCATTACTGGTTTTTGGACTAAAATAAGAATTTGTCTCCCTTAATTAGGGTGAAAATTTAATTTTATCGCATTCTTTTACAACTTATCTCGAAATGAATTATGTTCTAGAAGTATTACATGCCTTGATTATCATTATATTATTCAGCTTTCTTCAAAAAATTAATGAAACTAAAAAGTAGTACAAATTTTGATCTTTATTAAAGTCACACTTCTGAAGCTGCACAAAAGCTATTGCCAACGGAACGTTGCAATTTTGAATCTTGATTATAAATGTGAGCCAAGTCGAACCACGGTACACCAACGCCGGCCACAAGTCAGCGACCATGCCTCCCCGGCTATTGCGATCAGACAAGCACTGAGAAAGAATTCAAAGGTTACCTTTGCTCTGCAAAATATTTCGTACCTGGTTAAATAAAAATTTAAAATGTCTGATTCAATTAGTTACAAAGAATATTTACTTCATTGCAATTAAATTCGTTTAGGTCACACAATATATTCCTGAGTAAATTATCGCTATATATACCTATTAATACCTCATAACACAAAAGCGCCACTCTTTAAGAGAAATAACATATTTTTTACCAAATCCTCAATTTATGTAGAGGGAATATAAAATTCGAACTGAGTTGGAAAACATAAAGATTTATATTCAAATTAGGAAATATTTCAATAGAGTTAATCCTTTCTTATCATAACAGTTTATGTAGATTTACAAGCATACATTTGTAACATACTATAAAAATGTTATGAAATTTCCACTATTCTAGTGTTATTTTGTTCTAACACCATCAAATTCTGATAAAAATTATACATTTCTTACAATGCAAAATTATAGGAAAATTACACATTAAGAGGAATTTAAAAAGAAAAATGCGCAACAGAATTGCTTTTTTTAAAATAAAATATTTATTATTTTTTTAATGCTGTACATTCTTGAACTTTAGAATAATGGACACCCTGCGTTATATCATTTAAATTTGATTGCTTGCTTTTTTTTTTATTCAAGCAATAAGAGGAATAAGAAAAAGAAAATTAAAGCATCATGAATGCATTGTTCTTGCAATCATCTTTGTGTGCCAATTTTTTACTATCTCTAATAATACTTCCCTTCGGTACTATATTGGTCTTCCTTCTTTGTGATTAGTTTGGCTTAGTTTTGTTGGATTAACGTCTCTCCGGAGAGAAGCCATTGTTCTTATTCGTGAAGAAAACTATTAAGGCAGAAAATTGGTTACCTTGTTTAAAAGGACAACATCGAATTTCTCCATAATATAGTTTTAATTTGAAATATAAAAAAATTATACGTTACATGATAAATTGGTAACCTTTTCATGCTGAAAAATTAATTAATTAATTACATGTTAAAAAACGATTCCATTCCTGAATCTTAACATTACATATTCAGTTCAATTGTGGATGCAATTCTTATTTGCAATTAACGAATCCAAAGGAAGAAATAAAGTAGATACAAAAGATTATATTACCTATATACCTCTTACAATTACTTATTTATTATTTAATCAAAAAACGTTTTTTGGAATTATGTGTAGCTTTTTGAAAACAAGCGAGATTGAAAATAAGTGATATATTTTTTAAGCGGTAGTGAAGTAACATTTACATTATTATCACCATTTAAGGTATCCGACTACGTTCGGAACCGTGATTTTGCAAAAGCGCATACATGGATAATTTTCATGATATTCAGTATCACTTAGATTAGAATACACGCATAAAAGGTTTTAAGGACATTTTGACAAAAAAGATTATTTAAATACAATATTTTGGCAAAAATTTAACTTAGAATAATCTTTTTTTCAAAATGTGTTCTCCTTTTGTGAAAAATGCTTCTATTATAATAATATTTTGCCTGTATATAGCTCAGACCTCTCTACAGAGGCTCAACTAGAATTTTTGAAATGTACAACTTAGAAGTGGGTTTATTCATATTTTAGGACAACAGAGGGGAGCAATTTTAAGAATAAAACGCCAATAGTTATTTCAATTGGTGGTAACTCTGAAAATAATGTGAATTTTTCAACTATTCTAGTTGAGCTTCTGTAAAGTGGTCTGAGCTATATACAGGCAAAATATTATTATAATAGAAGCATTTTTCACAAAAGGAGAACATTTTGGAAAAGATTATTCTAAGTTAATTTTTTGCCAAAATATTGTATTCAAATAATTTGTTTTGTCAAAAAATGTCCTTAAAACAATTTTATGTATGTATTCTAATCTGAGTGACACTAAATATCATGAAAATTATCCATTTATGCGTGTTTTTAAATCACGGTTCCGAATGTAGTCGGATACCTTAAAGTAACAAATATAAACAAAACTATATGTACTCAATGAATTATTCAATTCCTACTATTATATATATATATAATAGTTCAAATTTATAATTGTTTATAAAATACTTTTTATTCATCCACTCAAGTTCAGATACATTTTTTTAAACTTGTAATGGATGACACTAGATGTTAAATAGTTGTTTCAAATATTAATTCATTAATTATTTTTAATTAATGGATAAATAGTAACAAAGAAAAATAGTGTCCAACACCATATATAAAAAGAAAAAAACGCTCATTGTGTCCCTTCAGCGCAATGGATAGCGCATTGGACTTCTAATCCAAAGATCGTGGGTTAAAATTCCACCTGGGATGGCCCTAATTTCTGAGAATGTGATTTCTTTTTATTATGCTATTTTATCGGAATAATTAAATTTAATGAACGATAAAATAGTAACAAAAACACAAATAATAGTCCAATACCATACACAGAAAGAAAATTGCAACAACAAAAAAATCGCTTTCTATATTGCCATTTAATATTGTGATTCTATCATATGTATATACAAATTTATATTAATTGTAACAATTTAATAAAAAGTAACTAAAATAAATTTTTTTTTTTGTTATAAATAGGGAAGACTTTTAATTTTTTTATATTACTTGTTACCAAAACATTTTTTGCTTTATAATATTTTTTTGTCAGGTCCCCCCTTGTCTTTGACTGTTAAAAATTTCCAGGTAGGGCTCTAACAGCTGTCTATCGCTTCAAAGTATTTGCGACGTGTAATCCGTGTGGTGGCCGGAGTAGAATAGTTCCCCAAAGTAACTCATGCGGTTTAAGGCATAAAATGGGGGGAAATCCTGGGCTGTGGCAACCCTCAATTATGACAAGTGCACCCCTGCACTTTGCCATAAACGACAACAATAAACAATCAATCTCTCATTGGATAATTAATTTACAGTCGTTCCTCAACCAAATTTTGCGAAATAAAGTTAAATTTCATTGACACAAACTTCTTTTAAAGAAACAATTGTGGCTTTTATACATCTCAAAATTAATAAACGTCTTCATCTTCTCTGTTTTATCCACCCCAGTTTAAAGGGTATAAGACTCTTTTATGATATCTAATATAGGTAAAGAATCCAAATGCAGTGTGTTTTAAAAATATACGTTACTTGACAAAATTAATAACTTTTTATACAGTAGTCAAAATAATGATAACAATAATAATAAGGGAGACGCTCGCAGCAAATTTCAGAATAGCTATACAGAAAATTATTATCATAAATGGCTGGAAGGAAATTAAATTATGTATTAGTTAATTAACTAAACTCAGTGATTCGAAAGCTCATGAGGGCCAAGGCCTATTGGGCCCATCTCAGTTTTCGTGACCTTGGGTGCTGAGGTGCATGAGCAGATGTTCCAGTCAGGTAGTCAGTCTGAGCGAAACATCCAGTGTTTAGTTCCCAAGCAAACTTGGTACTTATTTATCAACCCACTGAAGGGATGAAAGGCTGAGTCGACCTTGCCCAGCTCGGGATTTGCACCCCGGACCTGCGGCGTGAAGGCACAATACGCTATCACTCAGCCGCTGGGCTTATTAGTTAATTAACTTTTAACAGGAAGAAGTTTTCCATAGTGAAATTAGAGTGCTTTACAAAGTTGTGCAAAAAATGATCCAAATAACATATACTCTAGATTTATTCCTATATGCTTATTAGATATTTGACGAAACCCATCATAAACTAGATTACATCCAAAGCAACAGAATTCACGTTATCCTCATTTCTTTACGAATGAAAAATAGAAGAATAATTAAATTTACATATCACTATACAACTCTTTAAGTTCCCACAATTTTCTGATTGTCATTTTGTAATGGAATATAATATCCTAAACTATTGATGGAAATTACATCAAATTTTAGATTTCGCAGGTTCATGATATGAGAAACCCAACGCTGCAACTGATTTTTTGGTACCTATTTAGTAATCTATTTTTTATTGATGTTACTTTTTGTTCTTCAATTTTTAGAATTAAAATATATAGATATGTATTATTTTCAACAAAAAATGCTGAATTGAAAAGTTTTTATCATCAAATGTTTCAGACACTCATTTAACACATCAGGAAAACCAATTTTAAAAATCTTTTTACTTACAGACCTAAAGTGGCCATGGTAGCTTGGTGGTCAAGATAACAGATTCGTGGCCAGAGGGTTGCAAGTTCAAGCCTAGTGCCGCTGAAGACCCACCGAGGGGAGGAGAGCCGTTGCATGTTAAATATGTCGAGGTTCAAACGTCTTCCTGTCGGAGTAGAAGTTAGGACACTGAGTTACCAGTCCAGGTGTCGTCCTCGTCATTTGACCATGGTTAAAAATTCCGAGGTCCGTCCAAAAATATCCCTCTGGCAACTTTATATGCGGCGTGTTAATATAACACTTTAAACTCTGAAGACAAAATTCAAAATATATGTTTGAATAAGATTAAAAGTCAGATGTGTGAAAATAAGGGATTCCATAATTATATTTAATTACATTATTTTATATTCATTTTATATTAATTAATGTGTTGAAATTTAATTCATTAAATTTTAAATTTAGTTCTTTTGAATCATTAACATGTACTTATCTACTGACATGACTTATTAAGACAGTTCCTTTTCCACAAAGCTCTTAAAAAAGCTCAAAGCTTTTTTTAAAGCTCTTAATTTTTTACCAGCTGCAATAATGTAATGTTGTTCACTTAAAGAAGAGTTCTTGAGCATTCTAATCACGTCCTCAGGTATAGAACGTATCGAAGAAAAATTTAAACATGAATAACATCTAATAGACCTTAAAAAGTTAAATCAATAATTATCTGATGATAACTTTTTTTCCCTCCTTTTCTTTGCTACTTTAAAATTCACTCAAAAGCTACTTTGTATAATAAGTGAGTTCAAGTTTGTTACATTAAATTCTAACATTGTACGATGTTTAAAGGCATTCACTAAAAGAATACTTAACTGTAGATACAGGCAATAGTAAACAATAGCTACTTATATCGATATATTTGTCAAGACTATCTTTCATGATAATCTAAGATGATACGCTATTGTATTCAAGGAATGTGCTATTGCTTCAAAATATTAAGATATCTTTCGGCATTAATTTCAACAAAAGGGAAATCTTTAGGGAAAAAAGATATATTCTTTTACATTTTAACATGGTGATATCCTTACGGATACAAATATGACGTACTCGCAGTTGTGTGGCTGATTCTGTATGCAAATTTGTATAAATGTGAAGGGTGCTTAGCTCAGGTGTTGTTCTCGTCAGCTGCTCAGACGTACGAAACGGATCAGAAACCTAAAGGAATGTTCCAAATCCTGGTTACAGAACGAGAATCCCTGTATCAAATGTTAATAGTGTACATCCCATTTCGTTCTAAGAATCTTGGATATAAACAAAAAAAAACTAAAGAGATTAATTGAATATATTTGGGATTAAAATTGTATTTTTGTTACAAACCTTTGAACTACTATAAAATCCAGTATGCAACGTGCACCTACACTTTTAAGTTGCAATTTTGAATTTTTAGGTATATTTGCCGTTTAACGCGCACCCTCTTTTTTTACGTAGAATCCTGAAATGTACGGGAGCAATGCTCTTATGTGTTTTGAAGTCATTAATTCGAGGTTTTATTCCAAGTTCTAAAAATAAAAAAAATAATATGATTCGAGAACTAAAATCCCTTAAGTTTATGAAGAATATCATTTCTTTTAAATAAGCTGTATTTTGATGTATGTCGATGTCTAACTTTTTTCGACGTTCACCTTTTTTATTTTTTATTTTTAAAGCTCCCATTTTCATACCCGTACCGCGCGTACCCCTCAACACGCCTCTGTAAATTTCGATCTAATTTTTGCCCTAAAAGTGAACTTTATACGCTGGATTTTACGGGAATTTTAATTTATTTATTCCATTTACATGAAATATTAAATTGTTTGCGTATAAAATAATCTCTGAAGAGAAAAAGACTACAAACGAATCATGCAGTAAAACTCTCTCTATCCAGATACAAACACCATATTATAGATTTTTTTTTATACACTTATATTTCACGTCTATTGAAATCTGAAAACCAATCTGAACCATTATTCAGAAAGGAAACTTTGATTAAGTTTCCGGCATAGGTTAGATTTCTTTTCCAAAAAAAATATTTTTCTATCTCGAATTTTTACAAATATTAATTTTTACTGCCCAATACAACTAATAACAATTTTTCATTTTTATATTAGGTTGGGGGAAAGGAAATCCATTATTTTCGCATGAAATTCAAGACTTTATTTAACATGTTTCGGATTGTCCGATTTGGGTCAAATATGCACCATTTTATGGTATAATTTGTAGCCATTTTAAAGGTGGCATCATAATGCCTCTCTCATAGAAGTCTTGGTCCTTATTGGCGAAAAACTCTAGTAATCGATTTTCACAATCTTCTTTTGATTCCAATTTCTTATCACCCAGGAAGTTTTGCAATGCGAGAAAAAGGTGGCAATCGCTTGGTGGCAAGTCCGGACTATATGGTGGATGCATTAAAACTTCCCAACCAAGTTCCCAGAGTTTCTGTCGAATCAATACAGACGCGTGTGGCCTGGCTTTGTCCTGATGGAACACAACACCTCTTCTGTTGACCAATTCTGGCCGTTTCTGGTCAATCGCTAGCTTCAAATGGTCCAGTTGTTGACAGTAGATACCTAATCTTAGTGTTTGGCCATTCGGAAGCAACTCATAATAAATTACTCCTTTCCAGTTTCACAAAAACACAGCAGAACCTTCCTGGCCGTTAGTCCTGGTTTGGCCACCGTTTGAGCTGCTTTACCACGCTTTGACCACGATCGCTTTCGCACAATATTGTCGTATGTGACCCATTTCTCATCTCCAGTCAACATCCGTTTAAGAAATGAGTTGATTTCATTCCGTTTGACCAAGGCTTCGCAGATGGAAATTCGGTCCATCATGTTTTGTGGTGTTAATTGGTGTGGCACCTAAACATCGAGTTTCTTTTTGAGTCTAACTTTGAGTGAATGGTTTAAAACTGTTTTATGTTCGATCTTTAACTCCTGGGTGATCCTGCCATTACTAACATGCCGGGAAACTCCGATTATTTCTGTGATTTTATCAACATTTTCGATGAAGGGCCTGCCTGTGCGAGGTGCATCTTTAACATCAAAAATGCCTGAACGGAATCGACAAACCAAAATTGCACTTAATTAGCTGTTACGGTATCGGTACCATAAACACCATTCACAATTTAAGCCGCCTGGCTTGAATTTTTGCCTTTATCAAAGAAAAACTGTAAAATGTACCGAATTTTCTCTTTGTTGACTT